TATATATATATATATATATATATATATATATATATATATATATTAAACTTTTACAAAAGGATAACAGTCACCAAAGGAAAACTACTCTGAGACCAACAGAATTCATTTTTTGTAAATGACAAATACACACTCCTAGAAAATAAAAGTGTTCTTCACAGCTGGGGAGGGAAGGCAGGACGATGATCACATGTAGGATAGGTAAGTCTATAGATCTGATGTGTGACAGTAAGACAGTACTTCAGTGCCGGTGCCCAAATGTAATATTTCAGAAATATGCCTCTGCTCAGCCACAAAATTCTAGGAGCTCAGAACTCCTATTGTCTTTTAGATGCCTGCTGATTACCTCAGGGTGCCTGGTCTTGGTGGGGAATGGCTCCAAGTTTGTATAACAAAAGACCTATAGGCCTGGGCAAGCCTATACCCACCCTAAAGTCTAGTGAGATGTGCTGACGTGGTGTGTCTGAAACCTTGAGTATGTGCAGCTTAAGAGTGTTTACGATTAAAGGAAATATTTGATATCAGCTCCATATAAATGATAATAGATGTCTTCTGCCAGTACCCCCGCTTTTGGAGAGTTATTTAAGATGATACTGGAATAAACTGTGGTCTACAGTGTGGGAGCCCTCCAGATATCTTTGTTTTGTCCTTAACGTTCTCTCACCGCACTTCAAGAAAGTACTGTATTGAAAATTTTGTTTCTTTCTCTTACGTAGTTGTGTGTGCTGTATGTATGCATGTTGTCCTGTGTCTGAAAGGACCAGCTCCCCGTTTTGGCAGCCATGACAGTCTAACGTTTGCTTGCCTGACCTTGCCTTGATCACTAGGAGGTAAGATGCCTGCCTCATGGCAAGGAACCAATCAGAAGTTAGCTGGTGGTGCTATGCTTTATGGCTCTGGGTGTGCTTTACGGACAAGCACACAGCAATGAAGCAAAGAGCACAGCAACCACCCTGGGAAGGCCTCTGGGCCATAACAACCCAACAACACAGGGCAAGCCCTCCAAGCCTGGAGGCACACCAATCCTGAGCCTGTGCATACCCGGAGACACTCCCTTTACGCTGCCCTATAAGATCTCTATGCCATGGCTTCTCGCTGTCTTTCCCAGCCATCAGCCATGGTAGATGGATGAAGGGCCCGAGCTAACATGGGGTTAGCTCGTTAAACAACTGCAATAAAACCTCTTGCTGTTTGCATCAAGCTTTTGACTCAGCCTGGTGATTGGGGTCGTCACGGTCCTGGGCAGAGATCCTGGGGGCCTGAGCCTCCGGGGGGTCTTTCATCTTTGGGTATATGTGTATGAGATGTGGGTCATGTGTCTGCATGTGGAAGCAGGGTTTCTCATGTGAAGCTGGAATGCTTTCCCACCTACTATGTTTTAAATGTTTTGAGAAAGCAAAGACAGAAAAATGAAGGCAGTGAGCAAATCAGAAATGGCAATCCACACAAGGCTTCATCAGCTCCAACAGGGCTAATAATGTCTATGCAAATAGTTTACACATCATTACTATAACTGATACTGACACTGTAGCATGAATAAAAGCAAACTATCGTGATAAATGGTGATGGATACTGAGATGGCATAGACTGAAAAGAACATGTCAGTTTAGAACATAACAACTTAGAACATAGTCATTTTGCAGACAACATTACCAATCCAGCATTAAAAACCAATGTTCCTCCATGAGAAGAACAATGGATAACTCTGGGAAATATACCTTGAGATGAACTATCTATGATTAATTTATGAATGAGAATTATGTATCCAACTGTTTCTTAAAGGAAGGCAGACACAAAAATAGGCAAAACAGAGGCCTGGACTTGGAGAAGTTTAGATGCTGTATACTCTAGATGCTAATACAAACATTAAAGACCTTGGCTAGAAATAATTTTACTGTGTTCTAGGCTCTACTTTTCTCAAAAGAAACTAAACCCCAGTTCCCAGACATTATCAGCCAATGACCTATCGGCATCTCTGCCGACCTCCTTCCCACTGCAATACACAAGGACCCCAAAGAGGATGGGAGCAGCTCAGCAGATCCCAGCCCCTCCCAGCCCCCACCCCAGCCCTCCCTGTACCTGGGATCAGCTTCAGTGCATTCTCCAGGTACTGATCCTCTGTGATGCTGTCTCCACATAACTTCAGCTCCAGCGTGAAATCCCGAACAGTCCAGATGAAGTCTGGAAAGAAACTCACAAACTCTGTGGAATTCTTTATTCCACCAGGACTTTCGGAAGACTTTGCCCTGATCAGATCAGTGAGTTCTGTGACATAACTGGCATTCAGTTAAGGAAAAATGAATTCATGCACAGGTCCTCATGATTCCCTTAGGAAAAATAAATCACAATAAACAGTCAATTCTGCCCTGGGTCTACTCTGACCACCAAAGCCACACAGTGACAGCTCAGGTCAGAGCCTCCATATGCATTGCAGAGCAGTCAGTGGAACATGGCGGCTCAGGTTCTGGAAGGATACTGCAGGTGCTCCAGGGCCTGGTGGTTGATGGTGTTCATGCTGTTGTAGACGAAGGTGCTGCTCAGAAGCACGGCCAGGGCAAAGATCCATGAGTCATTCTTAGGGTCACCCTGGAAGACACAAGAGGGCAGAGGGCAGAGGGCAGAGGGCAGAGGAGAGCACTCCTCAGGAGTCCATAAGGGCTGGTCCTGTGGCCAGTTACTCCAGGAACTCTGGAGGCCAAGGCAGAGGGAGCAGGAGTGATTTTTCTGGACAGAGAAAGAATCCAAAGTCGGCCTGAGAAACTTAGTGGAACCCACATTGCTGTGCACAGAACACAGCTCGAAGTGGAGCAAGGACCTCAGTGTAAGATAAGACAACCTGAATCATTTAGAAGAGAGGGTGGGGAACGGGCTTGAACTCATTTGCTTGGAAACAGACTTTCTGAACAGGACCCAGATCACATAGTCTTTAAGAGAAAATAAAACACAAGATTTCTTGAACAGGAAAAAGTCTGTAACTATTATACATCGGATACATAGTTAGTGTTCAGAATATATAGAGCTAAAACCAAAACCAAACTGAACATGAAGAAAACAAATAGCCCAATTTAAAATTTGTGCGTAGAACTAAACAGAGCTCTCAAACAGTGAAACACCAATATCTAAGAAAGACATAATAAAAGGTTCAACATTCGGGGCTGGAGAGATGGCTCAGAGGTTAAGAGCACCGACTGCTCTTCCAGAGGTTCTGAGTTCAATTCCCAGCAACCACATAGTGGCTCAAAACCATCCGTTATGAGGTCTGGTGCCCTCTTCTGATGTGCAGATATACATGGAAGCAGAATGTTGTATACATAATAAATAAAATGTTAAATAAAAAAAGGTTCAACATTCTTAGCCAACAGGGAAGTGCAAATTAAAACTGCTTTGCCATTTCAGCCTATGGATCAGAAAGGCCAGGAGCAATAAAACAAATAATTGCACATGTTTTTATGTACTGATTCACATGTGAACGCACAGATACTGTGACAACACAGAAGACCTCACAGAGATTGTGACAGAGCCCACAAACACCTGCACAATCTCAAACTAGACAAAGTCCCAGCTGAGAAGACAAGTAGACACAAGTAGTCCTGATGGAACTTTAGTTTTAAAAATATGACTGTTGCTTCACAGATGATTTAAAAGTACTTACAAATATTGCCAATGATATTCTTTTTTTAATTTTTTTTATTTTCCAACTTTTTAAATTTGAATTACAAACAGGATTGTTTTACATGACAATCCCAGTTTCCTTCTCCAACCCGTCCTCCCCTACCCTGCTGCCCAACTAAAACCTTATCTGTCACATATCTTTTCTGCTCCCCATGGATGGTGAGGCCTTCCATAGGGTGTCAACAGAGTCTTTCGTATCCTTTGGGATAGGACCTAGGCCCACCCCTGTTTGTCTTGGCTCAGGGAGTGTTCCTCTTTATGGAATGGGCTCCCAAAGTCCACACCTATGCTAGGGATAAATACTGGGCTTCTGCAGGAGGTCCCATAGATTTCTGAGGTTTCCTCACAGAAACCCATGTTCCTGGGATATTCTTTATAATGAAAAATCCTAAAATTCACATCAAATCACAAAATACCCTCTTTAATCAAATTACTCTTGAGGAAGAACAACAAATCAGCATACATCCTGATTTAAAACAAGTTACTAAGCTATAGTCATCAGAACAGTATGGTTTATTCAAAAACCTTTTCCAAATTGCTGTTAGCAGACACCACAGCAGAGGAGGTGACAATGGACGTGTCTGTGGAATATCATGCTGAATCCCATTACTCTACACAATAGTCAAAGTGTTGAGGACTGTGAGTGCTCCTCAGTGACTTGATGGGTGAAGACAATGTGGATTAGGAACACAGCATTTAAAAAGGAAAGAAAGCCTTCCATTGGAAACAATATGCATAAATCTTAGAGCGGTGGGCTTAATGACGTGAGCCAATTACAAAAACGCAATGTTTCTGATGCCTCTCTGAAGGAAAATGGAAAACCTATGAATCTAGACACTGCTCTCAGATATCTAAAACCAAGGGGAAAAAATAAAAGGATGAATCAGCAGGCAAGATGAAGCAGGGTGGAGAGGCTCTTATTGCACCAGCCAAACAGTTTGTTTTAATCTCTGGAACCCAGAAGAAGTTGGAAAGAGGTGTGGCACATGCCTGCACACACAGTCACTCAATGAACCACACTACATCTCACATACAACAGTAGTTGGTTTTGTTTTTTTTTTTAATCACTCAGTTCACCTAGTTCATCTAAGTAGTTATTGTGGGACAAACATGTGCCTTCACTACCTACAGAGTCAGCTCTCTCAAGAACTTCTAGAATGCCCTATGGACAGCTGATAAGTTTCATCACACACACACACAAAAAAAAATGTGAACCCAAGGGGTCGGACAGATGGCTCAGTGGTAAGAATACTTGCCACTCTTCCAGAGAACTGAAGTTTTGTTCCTAGCATCCACTTTCTGTAACTACAGCTCTGTGGAATCCCAAGCCTCTGAACACCAAAGATGCCTGTACTCACATGCTTATACCACAGGCAGACACAATACTACACAAAATAAAAATATGTCTCTAAAAATGTAAACCTAGCTACTTAACTCCATCCCCAAAATGTATCCTAATTTTCCCAGGTGACAAGACAGAAGTCATTCTTCATCCACTGAGATGGGATGATGTCGTCCACCTTCTCATAGAAGCATCCTTCCACCTAAAGCTCCTAGACGACGTCATCCACTTTCCCATCAAATCATCCTTCCATCTAACTGCTCCTAGAGAAGTAGCACTGTGCTGCCTGGGTCACCTTTCAAAATGGAAAAAACTAGTTCCTCCAGCTATGGGAGAACTGATGGGCAACAGCTCTCATATGCCAGCACTTTGAATGACACAGGCCTCCAGGGCAGACTTCCAGTGGTGGGTGGGCATGAGAGACAGAGACTCAACACCCCTGACCCAACACAGGCTAGCTCAAAAGTCCCAGCCCAGCTCTCTGTCTACAGTTCAGAGGTCAGAGGCTGCCCCATGACAGCTCTTCCTCTCTCCCTCCTGCTTCTTTCTGGGTACTGGACTATATCAGAGTACACACGGGTTGGATTTTCCATAAAACTAGGAGGGCTCTCAGAGGAAAATCCTGTGTTTTGTTCACTAATATCTAACTACTCTGCCTGGAATCCAGGAATTTAACTGCTAAATAAACTTTTCTTGGATTGAATGAAATCATTCACCCAAATGGCAAGAAATAAAAGCATATTTTCCCTAATATAATAAATTCGCAGGGATATCTCTATGAGTTTGAGAGCAGCCTGATCTACAGACCAAGTTCTAGGACATCCAGGACTACACAGAGAAACCCTGTCTCCAAAAAAAAAAAAAAAAAAACCCAAAAACCAAAAACAAACAAACAAACAAACTTACCTTATCTAAGAGTAAAATCTAAATAGATCAGTATTTATCTCAACTGTATAGTTCAGTCTGTAGAACTTTTTATAAACAGATCAATCAGTTGGATCACAAAGGTTCATAAGGGTCAGCCTTAGCCTCATCCTACCTTTTCCACGTCCCCCAGTCCCTCGGTGTCCAGGAGGACCAGGGTGTGCTTTGGGTTGGTGGGATGTGGAACACACCACATCCAAATGCCCTTGGTTTCAGACTGCACAGTGGATCCCAGAGGGAAGCCTGAGAAGAGGTGAGGAGTCACGGTTGGTGTGTGCGTTTCCTGCACATGATAGCCTGTGTGCTAAAACATCAGTGCCCAGAGGCCTTGTGTTCTAAAAACTGAGGGCCCAGCAACCTCCTTTGTTAAAATGTCAGTGCCTAAAATCTTCCTCTGCTAAAACATCTGTGCCCGGAGGCCACCTGGGCTAAAAAGTCAATGGTTGGCAGCCAGCACCATTTTGAGGGATATCAAAGATTTGAATTGAATAGTTGAAGCCCAGCTGGAGGATAGAGTCACCAGAGGAGAGATATTGGAAGTAGAGCTGGGTCCCCAGTCCCTTCCTCAGCCTCTGTCACCTATCTTCCATGTAGCTGCCATGTGACCTCAGTGTGGTGCCAGGATCAATGACTCCAAGTGTCCAGATAAGTCCCACCCCTTAAATCGTCCCCCCTGGTCCTTTGGACACAGCTTCGACAAAGCACCCAAGAGGACAATGCACAGGAAAGGAGATGGGGACAGTAGAACTGTCAGTGTGTAAAACTCAACACTCAAAATGGTGCTTCATCTTTCCAAAAACTTCCTAGTTCATGGTCATCTATTTCAAGTTATAGGAGACATTTAACAAGAGAATGAAGCCACACAAGAGCTCCAAATGGAAACAAAGAAGAATCCACCAATCAAAAAACTTGGAGCTCTCTGGTGGCTGCAGTGACAGTGTTTTGAGCCAGTCACAATTGGACACACCTGTAATCCCTGTAGGCAGGAGACAGAGGCAGGAGAATTGTCATTAGTTTAAGAGCAGGTGGAACTAATTAGCTACAACCAGGCCAACCAATATGACTGACTCAAAACAAAACAAAACAAAAGGCACTTTTTTTTTTTTTTACAAATTATGCGAAATGATATGGGTCCCAAATCAGAGACACACAAAAAGAGGAAAAAATAAAATAAGGAAATAAGATTAAGATAATGTAACAAAGACAGTCAAACCTTTGCCCAGTACCCAGCATGCCACTCACCTTTATTCTGTCCTGCCAGACGGTTCATCAGGTACGACTTCCCTGTGCGGTACAATCCCACAATGGCCACGACTACCACTGGCTGTGAAATTTTGTCCAGAATCTCTATGGCTTTCTGGTTCACTGACAGTTGCTCCTTGTGGTTTTCCACCAGACAAATAGGGGCCATCATTTGTGGTCTGGTCATAGCAACTTGCCAAGCTAGAAGAAACTGCAAGAAGAATACAAAGCCATTTTCTGGCTCAGTGTTACTCAAGCCCTAGGTGGCTTAGGACTGATGACATTTGTACATTTCTTATTGGCAGTGAATAGATACAGAGGACATTCTCCTCTTCATCATTCTTCCAAAGTTCTAAGGAAGCTTTGATAAGACAGGGGTTGCATCATCTATAAGGTTTTATTTCAATGTAATAAAACCCAAACAATGGTTACCTTCATTAAGGTCTGACAATATGCTAACACTTGGTTGGAATGAACATCTTTAGGTATGTGACCACCCAAAATCTGCAAGTACCTGCTAGTTAGGGATTAGTACACACTGCCAAGGAGATCAGTGAGTTTCCAAAACATTAACGACCCAGCAAAATGGCAGACCGGTGGGTTCTAAGCACTTGTTCCCTCTGTGAACAGATTTTAAAGTGTCTGAAAATGTATAGGAGCTTTGTAAGACACCCAGGAATTACACAGACACTGAGATGTCCACGTGAATAAATAGTGTGAACTCCATATGTATTTACTTGACTTTTCACTGCCTAACCCCACCCCCTATCTGTCACAGGAACCAAAGCAGTAATTATTACAACAGGCTAACCTGGTCTCTGTTTTACCTAACTTGGATTTCAAGTAGGGATTATTTCTTGAATATGATACTAAAATCTCAACATAAGTAAATAAATAGATAAAATCCACTTTGTAAAGTTAAGAACTTTTGTACACTAAATGATTTATAAAAAGAGTATAAAAAGGAAACCCAAGAATGGCTGAAGAGTACTGTAAGTTATATATGAGATGAAAGAGTAAACAAATTTAAGAAGATTATTTTAAACAAAGAACCTCTACAATTCATCATAGATAACTCAGTTTTAACATGGGAAAAACACTGGATTAGACATTTCTCCAAAGAAGGTGTAGCCATGGCCATAAGTACATGAGATAACATTCAATATTGCTAATCACTCCATAAAAGAAAACGCTAAAATTTTAAAGAATTTATTTGAAAAAGATGCAATGTTCAAACTGGGAAGTACCAACCTGAAAGGTGTCTACGTTCCCACGACGAAATGTCAATCAGCTTTAACAAGAAAACCTGGAAACCAAATGAAGAAACTTTAGTAACAGGTGTTCTGTCTTGTGGGGCTGGGGACCTGGTATAAAAGTCTACACTCACATGATTTCATGTGTGATTTGGCTTCTTATAATTTACTGACATTGAGCGTTGCTTCCCACCAACATACACATTTACTTGAAATCACATGCCTGGTTCCCCTTGTGTTTGCAGTTTAAGCAAGAATGAGGTTATTTTAAGATCTATTTGGGAGCCAGGCGTTGGTGGCACACGCCTTTAATCCCAGCACTACGAAGGCAGAGGCAGGCAGATCTCTGTGAGTTCCAGGCCAGCCTGGTCTCCAGAGTGAGTGCCAGGATAGGCTCCAAAGCTACACAGAGAAACCCGGAAAAAAAAAAAAAAACAGGAAAAAAATCTATTTGGTTTTCTTCCTCAATAATTTTTGAATTCCAGTCTGCATGATAATGAGGCTTTAGGAAACACTGAGGAAGTGTCACCCAAAACCAAAAGATGTCACCTCATACCCCGCAGGATAGCTACCACACAAAACAAAAACAAATAAATGTGAACCAGGATTAAAAACTTAGATGTTTGTGCACTGCAGCTAAGTGTGGAGAATCATACCACCTCATGGAGCATAGTCTTGGTGTCCTATAAAATGAATACTAACATTTGATCCAAGAACTCTGCTTTGATTACATACAACACACAGGTGAGTGTTTGGACAGACCTTTGAAAAGCAATGATCATGGCAGCCATATTCACAACACCCAAAATATGGAAATAGCCCAATCTCCTATTAACAGACCATCTACAGATGTGTAGATTAACACAGTGTGATAGCCCACACGATAAAATATTATTCAGCCAGAGAAAAGAATGAAATTCTACTGCACACTGCAACACAGACGAGCACAGGGACATTATGCCAAAGAAAGACAAAGTAAAGAATTCTGAGAATTTAGGTAACAGGTGAAGTCACAGGTTTTCTGCATCTTGTACCCATATATAAGAGTAAGATCAATAGCATGATAAAATGTATTTAGCCCTAATGGTTTTTATATCTCACATACACCCTGGATATTGACAAAGAGGGTTCTGCCTATCTACTTATGCTTAACAAAAGTTAGTTAGCTAGAAACTAAATTTATTTCTAAATGGATATTTCCAAGCTCTTGTGCTGAAATTTTCTCATATGATTTCTATACAGAAAAGATGCTCTTCTGACTGCAGTTGCCTGTGAGCCTCGCCAGGGATGGTAAGGCTGTGGTCCCAGCTGAGGCAGGAGGGCTCCCTCCCAGGTCTGTTCCCAGAGCACTTGTCAATGCCCTGAGTTGAAGCTGACAGAGCAGGGAGCCTGCAGTGTCGGGCTGCTGCTTTACAATGTCCCTCATCAAAGGAAAGAAACTAAGCTTCAAACACCAAAGTCAGCCACAGACCCCTGCAGACCAGACAACATATAACCTGCCTCTTCTGACCTTCCCTCCGCGGCCACTTTAAACTGGAAATCCAGTCCAGGTTCCAGACCAAGATGCTTCTGAAAGGAAGAAAAAGTAAATATACCTGGTTCCCAAAGGATGAGGGCAAGTACAGTTCTCAGCTGCCTCAGGCTGCCTCTGCTTTCCTTCCTGTAGCCTCCTATGCTCCTGTTTTTATAAGATAGCCATGAAATCAGTTTATACACACACACACACACACACACACACACACACACACGCACACACACTGCAAAAAAATCACATGCTTCAGTAAAAAATGAAACTGAAAGAAAAGTCATCCAAAGCCTTGTTTACTTAGCCAAGAATTGGGAGATCCGGGAATGCAGTGAGTTACTCTGCAGGCTGAGGGACAGCAGTCCTCCCACTGAGGAGAGCTTTGGCCTTCTCTTTACCTTGGCACAGTAAAAACTAAGGGAAATTATACAATCAGGGACTGTTGCAAGCATGCTTCTGTCCTTGGAAATTCCCTGTGCTTCCTTAGTAAACACAAAACAGAAACTGTTCTTCAAAAAATCATTTTTACAAGAAGCAATTAGAAAATAATAAGTAGGCTCAGGGTGGTGATAGCTCAGTGGGGAAGATAGGCAGGCTCAGTGTCAGGGAGGATAGGAAGACATTGAAGTCTCAGGATTCTCTAGCCACACTGAGGAGAGGCAGCAGTCTGAGAAGAGCTCCTGGATCTGCCCTTACAGCCTGAGCTAGTGGACGGGTGCTTTGCTTTTCTGTACTTCAGCTCGAAGCTTGTACCCCAATATCTGTCTCTAGGTGTTTTATTTATTGTGTTACAAGGAGGCACTGGAAGATGGGCAGAGCTACCATGTTCATGGATCAGCCGAATTAGAATCATGAAAATGGTTCTACATGACTGAAAGGTAGATATAGACCAAGTGCAATTCCCACCAAAATTCCAATGACATTCTCCACAGAAAGGGGAAAGATGACATGTAATCTGCATGGAAGCACATAATAGTCACACCAGATTTCAAATTACTTGTAGAGTCATCCCAACAAAACAGTATGGTATTGGCATGAAAGTACTCACATTCACCAAGGGAATCCAATAGAATAGAAATAAACACACATAGCTATGAACACTTGATTTTTTTAATACAGGTACCAAAAAACATACACTGGGGAAAAAATGTGTCTTACTCAAATGGTACTGGGGAAACTTGATGTCCACATACATAGGAGAATGTAATCAGATCCCGACCACTCACTCCACACAAAAGTCACCCCAAATGAATCAAGAACATTAGTGTAAGATCTGACACATTGAAATTGCTTAAGGGAGACATGGGCAAACACCTCCCCCTATACAGCAATGGGCAAGATGTTTGTGAGAGCTCCAGCAGCACTTGAGCACACGCACACACACACACACACACACACACACACACACACACACAATTAGTAAAATTGACGAATGGGATCACATAAAATTAAAACACAGAAAATGCAATAATTGTCAGAATGAAGAGAAAACCTACCTACCGAATGGCAAAAAAAAAAAAAAAAAACATCTATCACATATACAACTACTATGAATTAATATCCAGAATACATAAAGGCCTTAAAATAGTAAGCATCTGAAATAATCAAGAAATGGTCAAATTACCTGAATGTGACAGTACTCAAAACAAAAACTACAAATAGGCAATAAACATGAAAAACACCAACATTGTTAGTCATTGAGGAAATGTAAATCAAAGCATCTAGACTCTGTTGAGGGTAGCTTTTGTCTGTCTAGTCTAGGTCCTATGGGACCAGTTTTCTGTCCACCTACCAGGTCCCCACAGATGCTTAATGAAATATCCATTCTGAGACTTAATATCTGTTACAGTTGTTTAGTCAATGACTTGGGCTTCTTACTGGCTAGCTCTCTCTTAATTATTAACCCATTTCTGTTAATCTGTGTACCTTCACATGGCCTTGGCTTACCACTGATGTCCTGCAATCTTGAATCCCTGATGGCTACATGACATCTGCTTTCTGTCTTCCTTCTCCCTTCCTCTTTGTTCAGAATTCCAGCCTAGCTAAATTCTGTCTGTCCATTGGTCAAAACAGCTTTATTCATCAACCAATAAGAGAAACATACAGTCAGAGCATACAGAAGGACAGTCCCCCATCAAGATTCCAGGCAGATGCCCTGGTTTTTATATCTCACATACACCCTGTGAGATATATATATATATATATATATGTATATATATATATATATATATATTAAGTAGTACTGACCAACAGGCAGGAAAAAAGAGAGAGAAATACTTGTAGACTGACAGCAAATTAATAGTTACCATGGGAATCATAATGGAAGTCCCTGGGAATCATAATGGATGTCCCTGGAAAATTAAAAGCAGGAATGTCACATGACAGGGTTAGAATTAGGGTTGGGGTTAGAGGAGATGAAAAGACTAATTCTGAATGTGGATGGCACCATTTCATGAATTGAGGCCCTGGACATGTTAGACCCTGGAGCAGGAGATGGGAGGACTGGCTGGGTAGAATGGTGGAAGGGCCTTTTATCTTTCAATGGATATATAAACTGTTTCTACAAACGGGCTTCTGTGGCAAGGTGTCTCTGTGGGGTCATAATTTAGAAACCGTAGGAACTCCCATCCTGATTCCTGTAATTAATTAATTATGTTAATTTACTATCGATATACAAGTATTTCCCCTTTTTGGGTGTTCCTTAACCAGCAATAGTTGTTGTTTGTTTGCATCATCAGGAATTTATTTCAACACAATCGTGTCATCAACATTCTTACTGCTGTCATCTTCTATGTTGATGCAACATTCTGAAAATCTCTCTTACACCCTCAGAGGCTGGAACTTTGGCTGGACCTCACAGCCACAGTCAGCAATAAACCTTGAAGTCACGGAAGACTGCCATCCTTTTGGGGGCTTAGCCTGTTTAATCTGCCTGTATTCACCGGGGTTATTATCTACTGGGATGAAATGCCATGACCAAAGCAACTTGGGGAAGGAAGAGTTTGTTTGGCTTACACTTCCATATCACTGTTCATCACTGGAGGAAGTCAGGACAGGAACTCAAGCAGGTCAGGAACCTACAGACAGAAGCTGATGTAGAGACCATGGAGGGTGCTACTTACTGGCTTGGTCCCCATGGCTTGCTCAGCCTGCTTTTTTAAAGAACCCAGGCCCACCAGCCCAGGGATGGATCTACCTACCATGGGCTGAGCCCTCCCCCATCAATCACTAATTAAATGCCCTACAGGCTTGTCTATAGCCCAATCTTATGGAAACAATTTCTCATTTGAGGCTCCCTCCTCTGATTACTCTAGCTAGTGTCAGGTTGACATGAAACAACCCAATATACTGTCTTTAAGAGAACAATGCACCAACCAACCAAAATATCCTTGGACTTTCCATGTAATCACCTTGTACAACCTAAGCTAATGTTTGACTGCAATCTTGCCTCACTCTTCTATGCCCGTAGTCCAGAGTGATGCATATGAAGCATTTGCTGAAAGCAACAAATACAAGTGGAAAGGAGCTTCTACGGCAAAGGTTGAAACAACCGTTCATGGATGTGGTTGGTTAACAATGATGCTTGCTATCTGGGTCATTTGAACAGTGACTTAATCCCTTGTAAAACTGTTCAAGTTCTCTGCAAAGTGTTCCGTCCCATCCCCATGTTTTCTGTGCTGTTCAATAAAGACAGAGTGAAGCCTTTGTAAAGGATAGATGCACAGAACCACACGGACACACAGAGCTCATACAACAGACACAGGGACAGACAGGCACACAGGGACAAGCATGGGGACAATCAGATACACAAGACAGCCTTCGGGCGGGCACAACTTCAGACTCACAAAATAGACATCCAGAGGACAGATGGCATAGGCAGGAAATACCTTGTGACATTTCTAATCCATTCTGTGTGCAGTCAGAGCTACAGACAACAGGTTAATCTTAACCATTTTCCTGCACAAAAATTCTTGTTTCCTGTTTCGGTTAGGATAAAATCCTTATCATACCTGCAAGATCCTGCTCAGCCTGGCTCCTGGGAGCGAGCCCATCTTGTTATCTCACCTCATTTCAGCTTCAACACTTGAGCGTTCAACAGCAAAAACATCAAACTCTCCTTTCTGCATTTCCCGCATAGCTATGCATTTAGTAAAAATTCGTAACTTCTCCATTGAAGGCCCACTAACCGAACCACTTCTAGCTGTTTTTCTACCCAGCCAGTAGACCCTGTATTCTTTCACAATGCTCTCAAGGAATTTCACTTATAAATGTGATACTGTATTCTGTTTTATGCCTCTGAGCACTGTACTGTATCCATGATGTAGCCACGTTATCCTCGGGATCCTCAGCACCTTTCAAGTGCCCTCCACAGAGGCACTTGATCAAAGGAAGTACATATTTATTAAATGACTGAATTCAAATCCCCTTAAAAGTGTGCTCTCATAAGCTTAATATGATGATGTGTCTGCATATGATGGGAGTAGCAACAAATTGGTTCATGGCTACTCAGAAAATATGTCAAAGAGGTGACAGAAGTGGTTTCCATGGCTACTTCATTGGACATCTTCCCCTGCAGGGTGTGAAGGGAGGTATCTCAGACTATGCCATTGCTTTCTTTTCAACGCATGGGTTCCATATTAGAAGAAATTAGTTATCCTGCGGTCTTTGATCTTCTGGGCACTTTCTGTCATAAGAGGTCTACACAGAGAAAAGAGTAACCACTGTGTGGCCTGTGGCACAATCCAACAGTCCCCAAAACAAATGTTTTCCCAAATGTTCACAAGGCCTGGTATTTAACTTTGCATGTTAAGTTGCCTAGGTCACATCAGCCAGTGTATTTGGTCAAGTGCTTTTCTTAGTGCTCCTGCGACTACCATCTTGTTCCCCATCAAAGTGTCTAGTTTTGAAAAGGCATGAGTCCCTATCTCTCGGGCACCACAGAGAAAGAAACCACCACCTAAATTACAACGTCAGGAGCCTTTACACACTGCACATCCTTGACTTTTGGTGATTGTGCCTCTAACACCTTCGTAGGGAATTTGGAGAAAAAAAGAAGAGGATTCCCTCACTGAGGTTTCAAAACTCACAACAAAGTTGAGCCCTCTGTTTTGAAACACACATAGGGATTTGTTTTCAAAGGCCGTTATGATGTAAAGCAGCATTAGGGTGTAAT